TATTAATGTTGTGTAAATATGATTCAAGTCTAGAAATGCTTGTTTGCATTATCTGTGTATGAATTTGCAATTAATATTTTATAGAAATGAAAGACTCGTAGCATATCCTAATTGAACGAATGACCTTCTAGACATTATTGCCTCCTAGGCTATAGTTTAATACCTGATTTTAAAAAAATCCAATAAATAATCAATAATAAAAAATTTGTGTATTTGCTGTATTTGCACTTAAAAAAATTTTAAAAACCAAAATATTTTTCTAAATCCTCAACATTTTATATTTCTATTTCTAATTCCTATAGCAATTTCTTATAGAACCAAAAAATGAATCCTGAGTTTTCATTTATCATAATAAAAGTTTATTATGAAAATGTTATATGTAAACTTGGAAAAATCTTAAGAGGACTTGTACAGGACTGGGGCTTTTTTCTGATTTAAATGAGGCTACAAAATGAGAGCAGAGATAAAGAATTTTTGGTATTATGAACTGCTTAACATTGGAGTTCATAAAGTTGCTTGAGTCAAAACACTATAATTGAAAGGTTATAGTCTGAGAAACTAATACAAAGAGTCACACATCTAAGGCAGAAGGAAAATAACCGGTAACATCAAAAGGGCTCAAAGAAAGAGACATTGACAGGGGACCAGTAAAAGAGCATAGGATAGCCATGGTTTATTATTAATGAATGCTGCAGGCAATACAAATTTTGCAACATATTTAGGCAGTTGTACATTAAAAAAGATGCCTTCCATATTTGTGTAGCTCCAGAAAGAATCTGATTTCTTGCTAGAGTATTAGAATAATACATTCGTTGCCACGAGACTTTAGTAAAATTACAGTCTTAGTGAGGGATAAGAGGCAAAGCTGTTTGTGTGGTTAAGCACAATTATACTTTCTGGATAGATTGGAAGTAATTCCTTGTGGTTCAAGACAGTAAGGCAAATATTTTTGAAGACATAATCTTTTAAGAAGTTATCATGTGCTTATCAAGTATTATTAAATCTTGTCCTTCTTTTGCTACACTCAGTACTGACCACTGTTGAAGACAGAACACCAAATTAGAAAGTCAATGTGGCTAATCTGTTCTTAATGTGCCCATTTCACAGCTATTTTCTGCAAACACATTAATGTGTTTACACAGAAGCCAGTCTTGATTATAATCTAGAACACTGAAGGGGAAAAGAAAAAAAAAAAAAAGAAAGATTTTCTTCATATGATTGTAGAAAGTGTATTTAGCTATTTATTAGTTTTATAGGTTGCTCCTTCAAAAAGAAGCATAGAAGAAATTAGAAGAAATTGCTTTAGTATTTTAGGTGATTTACTGATCCTGGTAAGGTCCATTAAACACTAGAAAAAAATCAACCTGATTCATTAGATTAAATTTCTGTAAATGTAATTAAATCCTGTCCTAGATTTGTTCATGTATCAGTAAACTAATTCCATTTAGTCAAACATTTGCTTTGAGTCTGAACAGAATTAATTTCCCTAGCTGTGAACTATAGGAAAGCAGCATATAGTCAATTGTTCAAGCATTGAGGTTATTGACTTAAAAGGCAGAGTTACAGCAGAAATGTTGATATATTCAGTAAAAGGAGTCATTAGAATAATTACATTTAATTTGAGGAGCAATTAATTTTTATTACATAAAACAAAGTAGAAGAGTAAAAGAATTCTTAGTTCTTTCTGCCTCTTGGGGTTTTATTATAAAAAACTTGGAATTTTTTCCTCAAATTCCTCCGTACTGTTGATGGGGTGAGACTAAGATGAATCAGAGTTTGACAGAACAAACACATCCTTTTTTGCCACTGTATAAGTGGAAACATTTCATTGGAAGGCATCTGAGAGGACTGGGACAAGTCGTATTGCCTACACAGCAGAAAGGTTTCAAATAGCTGTCATAAGACTGCTCAAGGGTCTTGACTCAGAAAGGGTTTGTGAATGGAGAAGGACAAATAAAAATATTTGGGACAGATTTTGAGCACAATCCTGATCCATTTTCAGTAGAGATTTGCATCTAGAACAGGAACAAGCCAAGTTATATCTACAGTCTCCTTCCTGTTTTACTTCTGCTCTAAGCCAGGAAGAGGACCCATGAGCAAGCCCAGTGCAGAGCTGAGCTTGCCCTGCAGTTGTTTCCCAGGGACAGGAGCTCAGCACCGCTGGGTAGGTGGATCCCAGCTCCTCACTCACAATATTCAGTGGAGTTTCTCTCTGGGATTGTGTGAGCTTGATAGAGGTGAAAGAATGCACAGTACAGAAACATGAAAGAGGCTCGTGTCTGATTTCATGATTAAGACATCTATTAAGAGATGAGGATTCTAGGGTAATTTTAATTATTGATATAATACCATAAAAAAGACTGAGAACATCATTTTCCTCTGAGTACCCTGCATTTGTGAAAGCCTGAACTCAGATACTTCCCCTCTGCACAGAGTACTTCTTGAGGTCCTGTGACAGCTATTCCTGTTCTCCTTCCAGTAATGTGAATCTCAGCCCTCTATTCCTTTGTTTTGCCTACAAGTGAGTTAGAAATGAAAAAAATCAGGGAAAGATTCAGAAATTATCCTGATATGATCTTAGATGATTTTTTTTAAATACTGCAAAAAAGCGCATTTTTTCATACAACCATATTTTAATTAAGTGCAAAGAATATCTGGCTAAGTTTCTGAACTAGAGGAAGACTTATTTTCCCTGAGTCTCTGATCTGAGCATTTTAAGATGTAATCATAATTTCCTGTTACTTTGAATAAAAGGGATACACCCATGAATGCTAGACATGAATAGAGAATTCATTTTCAAAATGCAAATCCCACATCCTCACTCAATTTATCTTTAAACTACTTTATTACTGGTATCCTCAGGCTGGCTTCTTCATGCTTCTTGTTCTTGTATCTATGGGGGAGTTTAATATTCACAGCACCCATTCAACTAAATATTATCACAGAAGGACTGCCAACATCACCACTATTCTGTTCTGTGCACATTTAATTGCACCAAATCATAGACAGAATAAAATATGGGGAGACACTTCAGTACTAAACTCTACTTGTGTAATGTTTAAAGGAAACCTTGTAAGCAAGATTAACTGCAGAGCAATGTCCAGTTTAGAACATCAGATAAAACACTAAGAAGCATGTGTGAAGATCTGGCTGATATGCAGAATCACAGGCAGATTAAGCAGAAGTAGAAACAAAAAGAGTTTATCACAACACATTGTCTTTTGGCACTTACTAACTGTGTCATCACATGAGTACTGAAAGGCTTATTTGAAATTGTAACTTAAAGAAAATGCCAGAACAAATTTTTGCTTATGAAAGCTAAAAGCTGTAACTGATTATGAAGTACAGTAAATCATAGTTGTACAATTCATATAAGGTTTAGAGTCTTTCAGTTTATTTGCATCAGTATTATATAAGTCATACTTATTTAAGCTGCATAATTTATGATACAAAAAAAGTAAATAGTTGATTCACACCTGGATGAAAAAATGCATATAAAATTGATATCCATAAGGAAAAAAAATTAACTTATGTGGGTCAATTTACATTGGTCACTGCTTTTTTTTTTCTAAAGACAAAATCAATTTAATATACTACAACATAAATTTGTAAGAATAAAAGACTTTTCTTTTGCCAGAGTCAGACCATCCAGTTCAGCCTGTAAGGATATTTAATTTATTTCAGCTACACTGCTCTATTTTTCACTCTACAGATATTAGGACAGAACTCTTGAGAAGCTGTTTCCTTATAGTTTCCTACAGTGTTAATAGACTTAGTGTGTATCAGCTAAAATGCTTTTTTACCAATTTGGTATGGATTAAAATAGTCCGTTACTGTAAAAAAAGTAGTATGACGAAAATAAAATCCTAGAAGGAAAACCAGGATCCTCTACCAATTTTAGTAATTTATATTGTGGGGTTTTTTTTCTTAGCAAAGCAGAACAGTATGCCAGCAATTCTTGTTCAGAAAGAAAAAAGCTTTCAGTAAGACTTGAAAAGCCACAAGAAAGATAGAAACCAAGCCAGAAAGGACAGAAGACTGACAGAAAAAACAAAACAGAACTCTAGTAGCCTGAGAACAGAATGTGTGAATGAGGCTGTGAGGTGAAAGACACAGCTGAGGCTGTAAGTACTGCAGAGAGTCTGCTGAAGTTAACTTTGCATAAACTATGCAGCAAATATAAAATGGAAAAAAATATAGCTGAGAAAAGGGTCACTTTAGAATCTGTTTAGCAAATTCTGGGACTGAGTAACTAAATGAAAATAGCATTAAAGTGATGTGGGCTATAAGAAATGTCATTGCAAAAACAATTCAGTCCTCCATCTACTCTACTATTCTCTTTTTAGCAGTGACTCTCAGTGCCATAATGTGTTTTAAAGAAAGCTGCAAGAAGACATGTGCTAAGCAATTATAAAATCTGCCCTGAGGAAAAAGTTCCTTTCTTCAACCCATCAGTTAGAGGTTTGTTTATGCCCTTAGGCATGAGTTTTAATATTTCTTCCAAATGCTTTTGTTTCATAAGATTTATCATTTTTTCATAAAACGTTCATTATTATTATTATTATTATTATTATTATTATTATTATTATTGCTACTGACCCTCAGGAAGCCAAGGATGTCTGCAACATAAATTCTACCATATAGTTGTTTATTTATGTGACAGAAATATACTTTATGACTCTAAAGGGCAGCTGAAATAAGTTTGTGCTTCCAAAGACTTACTGAGGTCATCACTGACAAAACAGAAAGGTGAGAAGAGTTAAAAAATCAAACGGTATTTAGGGAAGAAATGAGATGGACTGAAAATAGCTGAAACAACAGCAGCTTCAACAGACAGTTATCATTCATATAGTCCTTGTGACTGCCAAAAGTAAATGTGATAGAAATAACCAGTTGTTACCTAAAATTGTTTAAATTGCACTTACCCAAACTTTCTTAGGGTCAGCAAGACTATGTATTCACCAAACTTCATTTATTCATCCAAGTCTTTGTAAACTGTGGTAGTACCTACAATGAAAATGCCCCTATGAAGAGACATTTACAAAGGTTTTTTTTGTTACTGCTTTGGGAAACTATATGCAAGACAGTTCAAAATGGCCACTATAGTGCTGATAGGGCACTAAGGATTAAATAAAGCCTCACAAATTTTCGTTTTTTTTAAAAAACCCACAATATGCAAGTATTTGTGTTTCCCTTTCAATATCTGAACTCTTTAGAGGTACTTGAGTTTTTGTAGTAGACAGGAAATTCTCATACTTTCTATTTGTAAAATGAACAATATGATTAATAGATAACATAAAATATGTGTGTAAAGAACAGAAACCTTAGATAAGTATCAAGTCTCACAGGAGTTCTGGAGGAAAAAAACAAAACAATGTAAGACCAAGTAATTCTATGGTGACCCACGCCAATCTATTTTGAAATACATGTTGGTTGCAAAAATCCCTCCTAGCCCAAATCTTCTGCATCTTTAAAAAGCAAAGTGAGAGAAAGAACAGGTCAGAAGAGGATGGATGTTAAAGACAGGTCGGAGGAAACAATAATACAATGACAAATAAAGGTCTTAGCTGGGGTGTTTAACCACAGAACTCCAGTGGATGTAATGAAAAGCTATCTTGCTTCTGGTGATGCTTAGGGAGCAATTAGATAAAGATAACCTTCTTGAGTTCCTGATGCCAAAGAACTCTGTTGCTGATGTCAGTCTTTTAAATAGCCTGTGTGGCCTCCAAGCTTATGACCTAAGAAGAAAAATCTTTATTCCTTGTGTCCGCTTTCTGCAGCACTGCCCATCCCCTGGCTCCTCAAAGAAGAAGTCCTTCCTTTATTCAAGATATAAATAGCTATCACAGGAGACACTCAGAGGAAGAAGGGCTAAGAAAAAGTTAGAGTTACTCTACATCCTTCCCTCCAGTTCCCACTTTATCCAGTATTTCAGAACCAGAGATACTTCCAATTCTCTTTGCCATTCTATTTTTCTTTCCTATGCCAAAATCAGGACTGCAGACTGGCTGGTAAGATCTTGTAGTTTAGGCTGTTGTGGTAGGTGAAGGACTTGCATGTAAACTGATCCTTATTCTATTTTTACTTACCCTGGTAACGAATAGCACTGAAATGTGTGTAATATGGGTTCTTTTGTGCCTGTTTTTTAATTTTCTATTTTTCACTCTAGTGACTTGATCAGATATTTTCTGCTGATTACATGACAGCTGGGAGAATTTGCCATTTTCTTTGTATAAAATTACAAAGAACTTCAACAAGTAGGTAACATTTTATTCCTTTAATTGTAGCACTCATTTAACTCTAGTTATATTAACAGTTTCAATTATAATAGATGTAAATGTGATCTGAGCCTTGTAATGGGTAGACTCGTTGTTTTACCTCACATTTTATACAGCATTGGGTTTCGCTCTGGATATGCCAGAAAAGGTTTAACTATGGAAGCAGTGAAAGTGAACAAGACAGACTATATTCTAAGTCTGATAGGTATCCAGTCATGAGCTATTGGCTTCTGACTTCAACTTGCATTGAAGCAAATTCATTTCTAACCTTGAGACCTCTTTGGCACCTGCATCTAATCATACCTCCAAGACCCTCTTGCAGTCAACTCTGTTCTCATAAACATAGGGAGAATACCTTAGTGCAATACAGAAGTACACAGGGGGAGGTCAGGACTTTTTCTTCTTTTATCATCCTGCAACATGCATTTCTCTTACTGTTTGTCTGCAATTGACATATGTAGGTTTTCACACATATCTGAATTTCTTGATGCACTAGAATAAATGTTTTTCCCCAGGTAGGTTTTCTACATTTTTATTTTGAATAAAACTGATGAGTAAAATTTCAGTCAAGCTTGCCCTAAAATGTCAGAGAAAGTTAGATAAATTGGGGAGCTTTGAAACACATTTGTTCTGCCCATATATTGCAGCCTTCCAGCTCAGGTGTAGGAACTGACCTCTTGCTGACTGACTGTAACTCATCTGGCCAATGTAATAATGCTGTGGTTTAGGGTTGAAGAGGTGTGGAATATTGTAAGCAGCTAGGTGTACTTGCAATGAAATTTCTTAAAAGCTTTTAAAAGGAATGCAGACTTTTTTTCTTGGACATTGTGTGCACACAAGACAGAATGGATCACAAGAATATTTTTAAGGTAATACATGGATTTACAGAACTACAAAAGTAAATGTGATCTCTAAATGCCATTCATCAGAGTGGATGAATGGCATTTAGACAGACAATGTGCAGGGCCTGCTGCTGTCTGTGCAGTGGGAAGTGTCACTCAAGTGGTAACTCAACCTTTCTTTGGCAAAATTAGCCAAAGTAGCAGGGTGCTTTGGTGTGTAGTCACTTTCACATGTAAGAGCACCTTCTAGTATTTTGCCCTTCTAGTCTCCTTGGGCATTGTTGCCTCTGTGGTGGACATGTGGCCCTTCTTAACAGAAGTGATGCCATCAATTGAAGTGCTTGTATCAGCTTTCTGAGAAAAGCACATTACTCTCATCCCACCCATGTGTGGGTTTCACCACTTGCATAATTACCAAGCTTTCTTCCTCTTCTTTTCCTAAAGAGAGAAATAACAGTGCATCATAATTTTTTGCCTGCTCACATTCTCTATTGAAGTTGGAGAACTTACACATTAACCCTTGATTGAAATCTGCTGTATCAGAACAGCAGCCTGTTAGCATTGTAAATATGAATGCTCTTAGGCATTAATAAGCTTCATAAGAAGGGTGTTTTTGAACTTCATTAAAATAATTTTCAGTCAATTTTCAACAAATGCCAGAGATTTTTAAATAGTCATAAATATGGCATCTAGGGCCATAAAAACATGACCATCTCTAGCAGCAGGACTCAGCCTTCCTTGAAACAGTGATTTGGAGACTGTGAGAGAGATGTTGTGATTGCAGTAAAAATTGAATTCTGCTTGGGTTTAAGACTGTGTCAATAGTAATATAATCCACAATGTCTGTAAAGTGCTGCTTATTATGCTACCATCAGCTGCCACTTTGCAGAATACCATTAGAGAGTGATATTTACTATAAGAAAATATTCTCAGGAAGCAGAGTAAGCTGCAAAATAAAATCAATGATAGCTCAATTTCTTTAGATGAGTCCAGTTTTGAGATGCAATTGTATCTGTTTTCACTGGAATTAGCTGTGGACAGGGAGCATTCACTGTATATGGGTTTGCCTTAGGATATTGTACAATAAAATATAGTTGGGCTGGAATGCATGAGAATATTGGTACAATGCTTAAACAGATAATAACATTGGCAGATCTTTGGGGCTATGGTTTAGGTGCTGTATTTGTTTCTTGTGTGCAGTAATTTCTGACCACTAGATGGGACTGTGCAACCTCATGCAATTGTATTAACAACAATATTTGAGAGTTTTTTTTACTTTCAATTAATACTTTTCTTTCTCCCACTGAAAGAGGGCTTTGTCCCCAACCTTTGAAAAGAACTAAACCAGCAGAACCTCTAGTAAACAAGGATCTCTGTAATTCTGGTGAGAGCAAAAAGGTAACAAACATTAAAGTCCATCCAAAGATCTATAAAAAAATCCAGCATGCATTAAAAACCAATTTTAAAATTGCAACAAATAATCTTATCATCTTGAATCTGCACTACTACTACATATTTAGTCTTCATCATATTTCTCCTTGGTATTCAATTATCTTGCCTGTTAACAGCTAAGCCTGACTCTCTAAACTATGCCTTATACACATTTCTTTCTAATCTTAGGCTCAGCCAGGGTTCTGGGATACTTTATTCAGATTAAGACACTGTAAGGAGTAAAATAAATGAAAACCGGTTATCTTTTCTCAGCTAATTCATTGAATTCTTCTTTTGTTTCCCAGTGATTAGATTCACAGTGATCTGGAGGCTGTAGCAGTAAAGAACTTTCTACTTTGATGAACTCAGCAAGTTTTATTTCCTTTTGAAACAACTTATGGCAGATGGAAAACTGATTTTGGTTGTCTATTATGATTTTAATGCTTTTTTCCTTCCAAAATATTTTTTGTTGGTTTGAGGGGTTTTTTTTCCTTTTTTTTTGGTCCCCTTTATTTTTTTTTTTTGCTTGTTCTCCATCTGAGAATAGTAATTGCCCCATGGCTCTTTTCATTTGATGTCTAAAGAGGTTGACTTTCAACAGCATAGAATAACACACTTAAATCCTAAGGCTATTTTAATCTGGAATGTTCAGGAAAGGTCTTTACCTTGTAATAGGGGTTGTTGCTGAATTTATTTTGTTTCTTGTTGAAAATGTAGCTTTCAAACTCTGTGACTGTATTTAAAAAATATAAATAAAAGGAAACAAAGTGAAACTTTATTTTTTGTTTGTGTGTCTGGAATATTTGATAAGAGCATCTGAAGCAAACTTAGAGATTTAGGGCTAACTCTAGCGATTTTACTCATCCAGTCCTTTTTGTGGCATATACTGTCTAATATACTCATATGTCCACAATGCCTATCTAGCTTATCTTTCACTATTTATGTTCAGGCTCTAAAAGCCATCTAATTTTTGGTTTATTGTTTCCCACAATTTCTACTTTGAGAATTCATACTTTGAAATAACAAGCCAAAGGTTAAAAACATTATTATTCCATTTTACCTAGACAGCACAGAATAGTGACAATACCATTAATGTACTAAAATAACTTCCAGCTGACATGAATATACATTGCAGAACAGTGGCTCCTCATGAAAATGACATTTTGGTAGATGAGCCCACCATGGTTGCTGAGATACTCTCAACAAGATGAATTCCCATGTTCCAGTAAATGTCCTTTCCTTCTAGGGTTCAGACATGTCTCAGAAATGCCTTATAGTTATTAACACAGAGAGCCAGAAACAGAGGAGGCAGATTGAGCAGGTTGTATTTTACCATTGCCAGGAAGACAATAATAATTAATAAGACAATGTAATTAATATGGTTTCTTTTTCTTACTGCTGTGTAAATGGTGTGTGCATGACTGTATGCCATAGATAACTGGATAAAAACATGTATTCTGTTTATTTAATGACAAACTAAGTGTGGTTGCAATATATTTATTTATATTTGAAACTAACTTTTTAAATCTTGACTGATACTCTAGTTTCCTTGTGGTTGAGGGAATCTGACTAGCAGGGCTCTTTGGCATCTTCAAAGATCTACAGGAATGTCTGACTCAGCAGAGCTTAAGAGTTGTGTGAACACAGAAAAAAATACAGGCTGTTCTGTGTGCATTATAGAAAGAGAGCATGGATGGTACATGGGTGTGTGTGTAAATATATATGTTTGTGTTTATGGGCACGCTTTCACAGGTGCATATTGAAAGCTACTTCTCCTGTCATTGCCCCAGGTGTATTTAGAAAATTTCCTGGCGTGTCAAAGATACCTTGAAAAACTGACAGAACTCTTCCAGCAGTGGCACCCTTTTGTTGGTCAGCTCTGCATATCCTGCCTCATAATTGGCTTTGAAGGCTTGCTTTCCAGCCATACCCCACAAATTGGTATGCACCAGTGGAGAAGAAAGAATATAAAACAGCTGCTATTTCCTAAGCAGAGATGCCTGGAATTGCAACATGTGCTTACCTGTTTTCCATTTTCTTATCACTGACTGACAGTGGGAGGAAGGAGGTCTCCTTTGTGTGTGAAAAGGGATGACTACAGGGTGAGATTTTTTCACATCTGAACATGGACAGAATCAAGTCTACCTGAACTCCTAGGATGCAGGAAGCCAGACCTGGCTTGACAAGTGTCAAGAATATTCTTCAATCTTTCCCTGAGCTCATGAAGCAGGTATGTGGAAAAAAAATAAAAATCAAACTTTCTCCCACTTTAAAACACCCTTTCTAGAAAATTTTTACAGTTCTTTTCTTCAAACAATAGCTTAGAGTTTTTTCAGTTTCCTCCACAGAGAGAGATTATGACTGCTGCTCCTGTTGTTTAACTAAAGTAAAATGCAAGCACTGCTGCTGATTTGGAAATTGGAGACCTATTTTTCCTTATCCTTTATGTTCACAAATGCCTGGCTGTTTTATTTAGCCTTGTTGCTAGAGAGAAAATTCTGTCTTTAGACAGACCTGCTTTTGCATTAGAAATCTTGATTTTCAGAAAGCACACGATTACTGTTGCTTCTTAGAAATCACATATTTTTATGAGTAAAGCTGAAACATTATCTGTTTCAATTTGTGCATACAAGCTTGAGGTACATGCCATTCTATGCAAATTTTTTTGAGGTTACATGACATTTATGATATTGTTGATTAAGGCGAAAGCTGTATTTTGAGTACCACCCACCCCAAATATTCATGTGGAGGTTATTTCACAGGGTGAAGTTAGTTGTTACTCCTACTCATCAAGTTTAGGCAGTGTCTAGGGGTCTAGCAGGGACATTACCTGCAATATGCTTGTGGCATCCAGCTTGTCTCCACTGAGGGTGCTGAGCAGGTGTTTTAGCCCATCAGTAACGTGGGGTATGGATGAGAGCTGCTTCCAAACACCAGCACTACAGTCTGAGGGGCCAACAGCTGTAATCCTTTCTTTAAGGGAGGGAAGTAGCTTATTCATTTTATCTTAAACAGAGCAAGATAATGAAAAGTGCTTGGTAGCAGTAGTTTAGATGAAAGTAACTGGGTTAACAAGGTTGGTTCACCTTTGTAATGGTTTATACTTTAAAACCTTACCTGATGGCAAGATTTAAATAAGTATCTAGAGATGTGAATGTGGACTTGGACAAAGGAAGGAAGAATTTTGAGATTTGTTTGTATTGTAAGTGGATTAACCATGGATTTAATTAATTTTTATAGTTTCAGAACCTATAACACTGAACCCTATCTGATGGTTTGGATTTTATAGAGAAATACTTATCTGACTTGAGTTACAGGCTAAGTGAAGCAAACATCAATATGTTGTATTCTCTGGGGTGTGTAATCATTATAAATTGGGTACCACTCAGAGACACCAAAACACTAACACATTTCTTCAAAAGGGTAAAAGGGTACATCTTCCCATTAGCTGCCTGAGTCTGTTTGGAAGTTTGCAGTGAAAGAAAAAAAAATGGTACTTGATAGCCTGTGTCAGCCAGGAATAACTTTTGGACTTGCAGGTCCTGCAGGGTTTTATAACGTGTTATGTTTTGTAACTGTTTCAGGGCTAAAAATATAAGACTCTTAAGAATGTATCAATATGTGTGGTCTCACTGGAGACTAAGAAAACCAAATGGTTGAGGAAATGTTTGGGGATATCCCAGTGGACATAGAACTTCTAAACTGTGTGTAGCACAGAATCTGTAAAAAGTAAAATTGAGGTGTGATTCATGCCCCTAAAACAGTTCTTTTAATCTTTATGCAGAGAAAAAAAATCCCTGAACAAATAAGAAAAAAAAACAAAACCAAAAACAAAACCCAAGCAAACCAAAATAATCCAACCTGAAAACGTGGATAGGTCAAAAAATAATCAATAGCAGAACTGTCAGACACGATGCATTCCTTGTGCCTGTAGGAAAAACAGATAAAAAAAAATAAAGAAGAAAACCAAATGGTTGAGGAAATGTTTGGGGATATCCCAGTGGACATAGAACTTCTAAACTGTGTGTAGCACAGAATCTGTAAAAAGTAAAATTGAGGTGTGATTCATGCCCCTAAAACAGTTCTTTTAATCTTTATGCAGAGAAAAAAAGTCCCTGAACAAACAAGAAAAAAAAACAAAACCAAAAACAAAACCCAAGCAAACCAAAATAATCCAACCCGAAAACGTGGATAGCTCAGAAAATAATCAATAGCAGAACTGTCAGACAAGATGCATTCTTTGTGGCTGTAGGAAAAAACAGATTAAAAAAAATAAAGGTATATATAAGAACTGTATAAGTGCCAACAAGACGAGAAGACTGATACTGATATAGGGAGGGTTATGTTTGTTTGTTTTGGTGTGGGGGTGGTTTTTTGGGGGGGAATTAGTTTGGGGTTTTTTGTATGCTGGTGGTGTTGTGGTTGTTTTATTATTATTGTGATACCCTCAGGTTTGCAGCAGATTCCTTTAGGAATAAAAAACTTAGTACATGCTCTCATTCATGTAGTCATTCAGAGTGCGTTTTAGGAGACACTGTTCTCTCAGGCTACCACTGGTCATCTTAAGGCTTAGCCAAGAAAATGCTAAATTGTGTAGATGTCTGAATGTGATGAAAGAATGGTAGAAAAACATGACTCCAGACTCAGTGCAGCTGTAGAAGATGTAGACCTGATATGTTAAAGCATACTAAGAGAAATGTTAAGTTGAAATGAAGATTACACACTTGGAAAATCCTGTAGATAAAAGCGAGCATACAGGCCACATTTAACAGACCAGGTCTGTAGTTACAGATTTATGTAAGGAACTTGGTTGGCACAGTCCTTTTCTCATAAGAAAACCCTAGAGATGTGTGTCCTATGCATCACCATCACTAATGAGAATTAAACAAAAAAATGTCTTTGGCCTTAGACTCTGAGAACAAAAAATAATTTCAATTTTTTTATTTAGAGAAGGTGACGCTTAGATGAAACTCACTCTAAGGCACCTATTGCATTGCCAAAAGGTGCCTGGCAAACAGGATCTAGTGAAGAGAAGCATCATTTTCAGCAGCAAATGCATGTTTTTCCAGAAAACAAGATTTGAGGAAAAGTTGGGTAGTTTGAGATGCAGATTCTGAGGCTGCTTGACCAGAGGTTCTATAGGTTCTCTATCTGCACATTTCATACAAAGCAGGCAAACAGACCTGCTCTGGAAAGGGAAAATGAGGGGTCATTCTAGTACCATGATGTCTCATAGGTGGTAAAACAAGGCTCTTATCCTCAGACAATCAAGTTTGTAGTAACGAGGATTCTGTAGAAAGATACCTGAAGAGCTGCAGAAGAATATATTAACAGGGGAAAAACAAGGTGATGCAGAGCTAAAAAAACATTCTAAAAAATTTATTTTATACACCAAGAAAACTGATATGAAAGAATTCATAAGGAGTTTTTTTTTTTTCCATGCATCAAGAATAGGGGATAGTTAAGGTAGTTTAAGAAGAACAGTTCTTATAAATAGCTCCAGGAAAGTGGCTGCTGAAGTAATGGAGGCACAGAGGCATATGCACTTAGGAAAAAATTATTAAACATCCGTCTCCACCTTCCATTCATTTTGGGCAGCTGTTCTCTCTTTCCTGTTAGAAATATGTACTCACATAAGTCTGGGCTGTGCAAATCAAATGCCTCTTCATCAGATATTAACTATATTATG